TTTTCTGAATATCTCTTATCAAGGAAAAGAAATACAATGAGGTTGAGAATCCCTCGAGCAAAATATGCTGGCTGTTATAAGCAACAACCTTCAGTACCTCTGAAAACCTGTAAGATGTGTTTGGAAACACTATTTGGCACTTCCCAAGCATAGAAAGGCATTTGACTCTATACAAAAGGAACTTCAGTGGCATAAATTATATCTCAATGCAAAAATCCAGTATTCTGCTCCTTTAACTTAGAAAGTTGTAAATATTAGCAAATTGCATGAAGTTTTCCTCTCTTACTGTTGCTAATGCCACAAAGTTTAATTTGCAAGTAAGCTGTCATGGTTCTTAGGGAAACTTATTACTAGGAGAAAGCTAGACAAATTATTGCAAGGCTTCCTAAAGGACAGGTGATTATTTGTGTAATTACTAGACTTGCACATATAGCAGTCATCTGAATTGAAGCCTTTACAACGCACTATAATGAGGTCTGTGTTTGCTCTGCGGCTTACATGTAGTTGTTCTTGTTCATATGGAATAGGCTTCACAGCTTACAAGTACTTGTTCTTGCTTATTTCTTGATACACTTGCTGTAATTTGGTCAAATTGGACAGATTTCAGTAAAAGAAGATAAACATAAAAAGGAGGCGACATTGTTTTCGGTTAATCGTAGTCATCCAGACTATGAATCCTTCAGGCCAGAGAAAAAGAAAGCGGTGAAGGGCGGACAATCAACTGTGACACAAGGTATCCATGAAGGACAGGCACCTAAAGTATTTGAAGTGTCTGAGGTTTACAAACCAAGTGTTCATGTGAACCCTATTTTTATCTCTGTCGGTGTGGAGCTGGGGAAATTTTTTAGTGCTCCTGAAGCCTCTGATATTGTCTTCCAGTATGTTGAAAAACAAAATCTTGTCAAGCCAACAGACAGATCCATGGTGACTTTAGATGCAACTCTTTGTGATGCTTTATACAAAGGGGCCATAAAGAAAGGATCAACCTATCCAACAGAAATTCATAAGAAAGATTTAGGATCAACTTTTATTAGTCGGATGCAAGCCCATCACAGAGTAACAAGGGGCAGTGAAACTGTTGTTCGCAAAGGTGGTTTAAAGCCAATTCAGATAATGACTGAACGGAGGCAGGGTAACAAGAAAGTTACGAAACTTTCGGGATTAGAATCGTTTTTAATAGATGCTGAGGCATTATCTTCAGAGCTGCAGAAGAAGTTTGCTTGTAGTACCACTGTGGCAGAACTGCCTGGTAGGTCATCTTATTAACCTTTAAGCTTCTACTAGCAATTCTTGGTTTTTATTTGCTCGAGTAACCTGAGAGAAGAAAAAGAGAGAAAAAAATCTGTCACGGTCATCATGCTAGATTTTTCTGTGATAGAGTTGTTGATGTTAATTTTTTGTGGTTTACCAGCTTATACTTCAAGATGCATCTCCTTGATGGTTTTATGATAACGCTAATCATGGGTTTCAGTTATTCTTGTTTATTCATCTCATGTTTTGGTGTTAAGTGTTTTTAGATGGACGTTAGATACAACTGAACTTCAAGTTTAATGATTTTGTGCTTTTTCTTTCTAACTTGAAATCTTCTCTCCTTATCTGGTCTTGATGGTGAAGATATTCGCTATAGCTTAGTCCCAGGGAAAAAATCTGGAGGGTAGACTATAGCTTTGTTTGCCAATGGGGAATGACTAAGGCATTTGGTCATGTACCATGCTGTTAGGTTGCTGCCTTTTCATTTTAGTATCTAGCTGACAATTCATGTCTGCTTAACGCTTTCACATCTATTTTGGTGATGCTAAGTTGACCATTTCTTACACACTTTCCATTCTTTATTTTTATAGGAAAGAAGGGACTCGAAGTTTTGGTTCAAGGGGGTGTGATTGATGATCTTGCAAAACACCTGATTGAGCAATGCAGAATACCCAAGAGATATATCGAAGTTCTTGACAAAACAAAGAAATGAGATTTCAGGTTAGTTTTCAAAAGTTTTCAGGGATGGAAGATTTTGGAGGAGCCATTCGAGTTTCGCATTGACACTTTTGTAAATTCCTTAATTAAAATGATGGGTTGATTACAGTAACCCTTTAAGGTTTAGCCGGGTTTTTTTTACTTCAATCCCCTTAGCCTGGTTTAATTTTGTCCTCATTTTTATGTTGTCTTTTCGTTCCCCTCTTCCATCCTTAAAATTAAATTACCCCTGTGACTGTGACCAAGTATTCTCTCTCAGGCCCTTGAGTTAATTTAAAATAACTGGTGGAGCCCAGCTCCATAATCCCCACGAAAGGGGAGAAAAAAAAAGTAAAAATAAAAAGACAAAGCTGTTTCGTCATGCTGCCCCAAATTCATCAATCAACGGAGGATTCGCGGGCCAATCAATTTGTTGCGAGGTCGGATCATTTTATTTTATGTTGCACGCGACTGTCGCATCAAAATAGTGGGCTACACCGAAGCAGCTTTTAAAATGCAAGGGGTTCCATGCAATTAATTAATCTCCCTTTTTGAACAAAGTGCAAGGGGTTAAATGCAATTAACCTTGTAATTGACCCAATAGTACAAGGGGTTTAATTGACCTAAAAGTACAAGGGGTTTAATGCAATTAGCCCTATAATATATCCCTTTTTGAATTGTCATTGTAGTGACTCGAGTTAGGAAACGATTTTTTGAAGGGAGAGACTCGCAAAAAAAAAAAAAAAAAAAGAATAATTGTTTTAAATGTAACCTCTAGTTGACATAAAAGCTATCAACTATTCGTACAGTAATATCCATAAAACCTTTGCTTGACGGGAAAGTTACCATTTAAAATAAATTTTTTACATTTAATTAAAGTACTTACCTTGGTTTAATGGTTAATATTGAGACTCAATAACTTTCCAGTCTCCCTTCTCCCTTCCTACTTTTTAAATTCCACTCTTTCCAGTGTACTAAGGGGGAAAAAAAAAACTAAAGTACTAACCATAAATTTAAAGGGGAAAAGGATGGGGAAAATAAGCATATAGCGTAATATTATGTACAATATATATACACACACACTATATAATCCTCTTAGCACTTACACTTTTGCATTCTTAAAGACGCTAGAACTCGAGCACTTGAGCTTGTGTGTACGTACATGAGTAACATTCAAATATACATCCGAAAATGTTGTGATATAACAAGTGGAAAAGTAGCCCGGATCGCATGCTTGGGGGTCCATATATCTCAATAATTTGACCTTGTGGAATCTATTCTATTACTTGCTGAAGCATATCTAAAGGATCTATACCTCGTGTGTCCATGAATTTGTATGTATACGTATTATTACAATACACCATCGTGATCATGATGATCGTTGAATTAACCTTTTGTCAAGCTCAGCTAGCTCTATACATGCAGTAGTGGGACACATATATGCGTACTGTTGTTTGTTCTTTTATTTTAGGTGGAGAGGTTAGAATTCTGAAACAAGAAGATGGAAAGAAATTGAATGGCCACAAATGTGACAAGAGTCTTAACCAATTGGATATTCCCACAAATATCCCATTCACTGGATGTTTCTGCTCTCTTTTTGCCTTTCCCCTATATGTTATGTACGCTACATTTATATATGGTTCCAAGTGAATTTGATGCCTTTGTTCTTGATGTTGCCTTCCCAAATCCCCATGTCCATTCATCACTTACCTTTCTCTTGATCATATATATATATATATACACACAATTCTCTGTTCTCCCCAAAAAGAAAATGGTCTTAATTGGAGGCTTTTCCCTTTCTCCTTTCCACGATTCTTTTCTTGGTTTATGTTGCATTCTCGCGTGAAAACGCTAAATTTGTCTTCAAGAATCCTAGTCAGCCGAAATGATTGTTCCCCGATGTTTGATTCTTGCGGGAATCTGATACCAGGAAAATGTTTTTAGTTTATTCGATCTCTGGAGTTGAAAAGTTTTCTTCTAGCAGTTGTCAGGACCTTTTTCTAGCAGTAAGTCATGTTGCTAACGCTGATCAATTTTTGTTGTCAATAAATAATGCTAATTAATACTACTACTTTGTTTTCCTTTGTGATGCCATGCAACATTGCGCAGGTTAGTTCATGTGGCCAAGACTCCAAATAATGAGAAAGATGTTCTTCTTCGGTTCGGGGTGTATCCATTTCTTTCAAACAATAATATTTCGAGCATATATATGAATGTGAAGTTCCCAGTTTTGTGGACTCAAAATGCAAATTAAGGTCACATTGCGAAAGCACAATAAATTCATGCAAGAAGCTCTTTTTCAGTTTTGGGTACGATCAATATAATGAAGACGTACGGTACCTCTCCTCTGCGATCGAGTAGCAAAATGGAAAAACAAAAGGAGAATAATTAAGCATATGAATAATCCAAGGAGGCGACACATAATTAAGTAGTATAAACCACATAATTAAACATGACTCAATAAGAAAAGGAGAAGACACCCAACCCGATAAATACATTCAAGTGAATGTTGATAGGGGTTCCTTCCAAGTTCATATATATAATACACTGCGTGTAAATGAGAATGAAAGCTTACGAAACCAATCGAAACCAAAGCCTCCACCCCTCCGTCCTTTGTAGCTAGCTGCTATAATAATAATAGCCAGCCTGCTCGTTTTTATTTTTTGGGTTGTAGAGATACTTCTAGTTAGTTTGTATTGGGTATAGTATCTCAGATTAAAATAAATAAACAAATATAATCTCGCATGCCTTTAAAAGGCCAGCCGCTTCTTCTTCCATTCTAACTCGGTTTCGAACCAATATTCTTCCAGAAAAAAGAAAACCAAACGCATCATACTACAGTTGGTTTCATTTATCCATATTCTGCACAAAATTAAAGCATGCTTAGATCATCTATGCACATACGGTTTTGTGTACATGTGATGCAAGTTTAATAATTGGAGGTTTTGTTTCTTTACTTCACTCCCACTCTCTCTCTACACACAAGCTCCCCATTTGTACATCACTTTTGTATAAGAAACAAAGCAGAAAGTAGAAGAAATTCAGACAGAGAAATGGCCGGAAATGAATGGCTAAACGGGTATTTGGAGGCGATATTGGATGCGGGAAGTGGGAGAAATAGTGATGGCTCGAGAGAGGAAGAGAAGATCAAGAATAACAAATCCACGAGTCCTAGTTTGAGGAAGAGGTTTGATGAGAAGTTGACGTTTGAGAAGTTTGAAGCTCGGAAAGAGAAGGAAGCTGGGAAGCTGTTTAGTCCCACCAAGTACTTTGTAGAAGAAGTCGTGAACAGCTTTGATGAGTCTGACCTCTACAGGACTTGGATCAAGGTCTCTCTCTCTCTCTCTCTCTCTCTCTTCTTCTTCCTCTATCACTCTCGCGCTTACCAACCAACCACACACACACACACACGCACACAGAGAAGGAAAGAAACTGACAATCCCCAGCTTCGAAGACTTCCTTGTATAGAAGTGTTTTCGAGTTTTTTATGCAGTTACTGTTGGCAGCTGCATGAGACCTGTGAAAAAGGAATATAAACAAGAAACGTAAAACGAAAGCTCAAGTCCCAAGTTAACCATGAAATTTCAACTTGAAATCATCGTGCATGCGAAGTTGAGAACAACTGAAATGAAGCTGAAAATGTAATGAAACATTTTACATAATGATAATATTCAAGAAAGGGGTCAAAGACAGAATTGGTAATCGAGAGTTGAATGAACATGGATGGATTGTGGTTGCATGCAGGTCGTGGCGACAAGGAATTCTCGCGAACGCAACAACAGGCTCGAGAATATGTGCTGGCGAATTTGGCATCTTGCCCGCAAAAAGAAACAGGTCCCTCTCCAATCTCTCACACTACTTAACAGTTAACACACAGACTACTTGGATATACACACTCTCACATATGTAATTTTCACAAGACATCCATAATCCCTGCATACGGTTCGAAGGTGACAATAAAACCATTTAGACGACTTTGCAGTTTTACCAACTAATAAAGAGATACGGCAATTCAGCAGATTAAGCCTGACAACTTTTTCTCCATGCACGATTTTGATGCCGCAGAAGAAATTGTAACAGCGCAATCGCCATTTGGGAATCCTAGTCCTTAATGGTAAAAGATAATCAACTACTGTACCATGAACAATGGCTCTGTCTAATGCACAAAAGTAGCAAATTAATCTGAGAAACAGAAAACGTGATAGCTACTATTAACAGTTTCTGACAGACAAAAGGATATCATCCCTTTTCTTCCCAGTAATGGCCTCCCCTCCATTTATCTTTTTAATATCATTTGTATATGAAATCTAGCGAAGGGCAATACAAGAACTCATAATTGGTAACACTTCTGCTCAAGACTAGATTGTCAGACTTACATATTACCTGCAGATAGCTTGGGATGATGCACAGAAACTAGTAAAACGTAGACTCGAGCGTGAAAAAGGTCGAAGTGATGCAGCTGATGACCTCTCAGAAATTTCCGAAGGTGAGAAGGAGAAAGGCGATTTAGCTCAAACAGATTTCCCTACTCGCATTTCAAGGATCAACTCTGATACTCAGATATGGTCAGAGGAAGATAAATCACGACAACTGTACATCGTATTGATTAGGTATTTTTGTTCTCTGATTCCATATATTGATGCAAGCGGAAAAGGCCAAACAAGAAATTGTTCACAGAAAGCATTGATAAGTAACAGAATAAGCACAACACCTGTTGCTATTTTCACGCCTCTCTTGACAACCAAAATTAACAAAATTCTCAAACTGGACAGAACTTGGAGTAATTTATCAGCTGAGTTTCATGCACTGTTGACTGTTTACTATGCAGTCTGCATGGGTTGGTGCGTGGAGAAAACATGGAACTTGGCCGAGATTCTGACACTGGCGGTCAGGTAGTAAACGTTTAACAATTTCCTTTGCTACACGCAAGTTTAAAATCAGTCTTCATCTTCATTCTCCACTGCTGAAATTGAACAATAGGGAATGGAGGAAATGATAACATGTATACTAAAGACTCAACAATATCAAGGCCTTAAGATCTAATGAGAAGCAGACCTGAGAGACTGTAAACCACTTTAGTCAATGATTCCAGAGCAAGTTTCCATGCACGGCACACTAATTGTTCTTACTAACGCATCTGATATGTGAATTTTATGAAAATACTCAGGTGAAATATGTCGTGGAACTTGCCCGAGCACTTGCAAATACAAAAGGAATATATCGAGTAGATCTCCTGACTCGACAAATCACATCCCCAGAAGTTGACTCCAGCTACGGAGAGCCAATTGAGATGCTATCATGCCCGTCTGATGGTTTTGGTAGCTGTGGTGCCTACATAGTCCGAATCCCCTGTGGACCTCGTGAAAAGTAATACACATTATCTTCGTCTGAAATAGAACACACATATTTTTGCCTTCTTATGCTAATTAAAATTATCTCACAAATTGTTACAGTTAGCATTCACCCTTGCTGCTGCACTGCTGCATCATCCTTTTACACTCCAATCCTGTTAAGATATTCCAAAATTGGCAAATTGATTGTATTCCCTTTGCATTGTACCACAGATACATTCTAAAAGAATCACTCTGGCCTTACATACCTGAATTTGTAGACGGAGCATTGGGCCACATTGTCAACATGGCAAGAGCTATTGGCGACCAGGTAAATGCTGGAAAACCAACATGGCCTTATGTGATCCACGGCCACTATGCCGATGCAGGAGAGGTAGCTGCACGATTGTCTGGAGCTTTGAATGTGCCGATGGTATTAACAGGTCATTCTTTGGGTAGGAACAAGTTTGAACAATTACTCAAGCAAGGAAGACTCTCCAGGGAGGACATTAATACCACCTACAAGATCATGAGGAGAATTGAAGCTGAAGAGTTGGGGCTGGATGCTGCAGATATGGTGGTGACTAGCACAAGACAAGAAATTGAAGAGCAGTGGGGTTTGTATGATGGGTTTGACATCCAGTTGGAGAGGAAACTAAGGGTTCGTAGACGTAGAGGAGTTAGCTGTCTGGGACGATATATGCCGAGAATGGTGGTAAGTCAAATCTCTAATTGCTATTGTTTGTTTATTTGACTCAAATGTTGAGTTCTTGCTAACAATGAAATGAACAAGTTCAGAACATCTAAAAGTCACACTTATCTCAAAATGCAACAGCATTCTACAGTTTGCCAAAGTTTTTTAGCACAGCTGGCAGTCCTTGTCTTTTTTAGAGACACTAGTCTATTTTTTTAAGATTTCTGTAGTCAACATAAGTAGAAATCTCATAGCATTACAAACAGTAGCTCTGGATTTCAACTGTCGCATGTTCTTATCCCTATGCAGCATTAATCAGTTTGAGAACATGAGTTGAAGAATATATAAACTACATTAATATCTGATGAACCACTTTTTAAGGTAAGCATCCATTATGCATTGCAGTCCTAGAAGAATATTCAGTTAGATCACATTGTCTGAAACATGTATACCTGCATCATCTTCGCAACCAATTTTCTTTGGCATTGCGTCTCCCTTTTGGCACACCTGTTACTAGTGAAAAGCTTGTTTCTTGATCATTATGTGGAAATAGGTAATACCACCAGGCATGGATTTCAGCAGTGTTACGACTCCAGATTCATTAGACAGTGATGGAGATCTGAATTCATTGATTGGACCTGACAGAACTCAGAAAAAACCTATGCCTCCTATTTGGTCTGAGGTTAGACACTCCTCTCTTTTGCACTGTAAACATATTGGAAAAGATTCTCTTTTGTATGACAGATTTCCTTTCATATAAATCTTGTTGGACCGAGTTCAGATTACACCAATAATGAAACTTAAAATCCTTAACATCTCTAAATTTTTTATCTAATGTGATGTTTTGACTTCCCTGAATCCAGGTAATGCGGTTTTTTACAAACCCTCACAAGCCCATGATACTTGCATTGTCTCGTCCAGATCCCAAGAAAAATGTTACCACCTTAGTCAAGGCTTTTGGAGAATGTCAGCCCCTACGGGAACTAGCCAATTTGGTAATCCTGCATTTTCCTCACCTGCAGCCAACATATTACTATGCTCTATCAGAGTGTATGATGATGCTAATATGACTTCCACAATGTCATTACAGACACTTATACTGGGGAACAGAGAAGATCTTGATGAAATGTCCAACAGCAGCTCAGTTGTCCTAACAGCAGTACTTAAGCTCATCGATAAGTATGATTTGTATGGTCACGTGGCATATCCAAAGCATCACAAGCAACCAGAAGTTCCTCAGATATATAGTCTGGCAGCAAAAACAAAGGTAAATCACTCACTAAATGTCAGTGAAATAAGTTAACTAACATAGTCAGGTATTAGGCCCAGTAAGCACTGTAAGGATTTAATTATCCACAGTCAAACTGCAATTATTGAGCCACTTCACTAGTTCTACTGGTCCAGCCAAAGAGTTAGTGTCTACCAACACTTGACTGTCATGAAAGCATCATCCACTTGAGAATATCTTAGAAGGGAAAGATAACAAGCCAAATTAATTTTCAACAGCCCATTGTGAACTGCTACAAGTAACACTTTCTTGACAACTAATTTCTCTTTCTGAAGGGAGTATTCATCAATCCAGCTCTTGTGGAACCATTCGGTCTGACTCTTATTGAGGTAAGTTAACACTTCCTGGTTTCTGAAATACAGTCTGCTATAATCATCCATACCTTTCAAGGCATGTTCAACCATGTGACCTTTGTAAGAAATCCGTTTTTGTTTGCAGGCAGCAGCTTATGGTTTACCTGTTGTTGCCACAAAAAATGGTGGGCCTGTAGATATTCTCAAGGTGAATTTCAACTGTACTTAGGTCTCAGGTGTAAATCCATATAACATGGACACCCAACTAGAATATATTCTCCTGCTAAATCACCGTGACTCTTAGCAAAATGAAATCTTGCCATCTGTCCTGTTCAAAGATGAACTTTAAGTTAGGTCCTTATCAACAACACCAAATGGTAACATAGAAAATACACCCTGGTAGGTTTCTTTGACCAATTAGATTGATATGAGCAATGTCTTTCTTTCAGGCACTTAACAATGGCCTACTTATCGACCCCCATGACCAGAAAGCAATAGCAGATGCTCTTCTGAAGCTTGTAGCAGACAAGAACCTCTGGCTTGAATGCCGGAAAAGTGGACTAAAGAATATCCATCGCTTCTCATGGCCAGAGCACTGCCGTAATTACCTTTTCTATGTTGAGCACTGTCGCAGTCGTCATCCTACCAATCGTCTTGAGGTTGTGCCAGCAACTGAAGAACCTATGAGTGAATCTCTAAGGGGTGTTGAAGATCTTTCTTTGAAATTCTCTGTTGATGGAGAACTCAGGGTAAATGGAGAACTTGATGCAGCAGCAAGACAGCAGGATCTTATTGAAACACTAACACGAAAGGCTACTTCAAATGGCAAACCCATCATAAACTACTGTCCAGGGAGAAGAGAAGGGCTTTATGTTGTAGCGACTGATTGTTACAACAACGTGGGAATTGCTACAGAAACCTTACCTCTAGTAATCAAGAATCTAATGCAAGTTATGCATCCAAGATCAAGCCAGATAGGTTTCGTACTCTTGACAGGCTTAAATTTATCGGAGATGATAGAAGCATTTAAAAGTTCCCAGATAAGGTTAGAAGATTTTGATGCACTGGTCTGTAGCAGTGGTAGTGAAATTTATTACCCATGGAGAGATATGTTGGCAGATGAAGACTATGAAGCTCACATCGACTACAGGTGGCCTGGTGAGCATGTGAAATCTATCGTGATGAGGCTTGCCAAGCTAGAAAATGGAACTGACAATGACATTGAACCATGCAAAAGTGCATGCAACCCCCGATGCTACTCATATACAGTTAGACCAGGATCAGAGGTAAGATTCCTTAACTACTCTGTGTGAAGATGAAAGATTTACATCCCGGGTTATCACAGCAGATATAATCATTTAAATTATCATGTCACAGACTAGGAAAATTGATGAAATACGGCAGAGGTTGCGCATGAGAGGCTTTCGCTGCAACCTCGTTTATACACATGCAGCAGCCAGGTTAATTGTGCTACCACTTTTTGCATCAAGAACTCATGCACTGAGGTCAGTCCTTATCGTTCTGGTACTATACTTGTTCACAGATAGAAACTAATAAATACAGATGAAACTAAAGAAGAAGAAGAAGAATCCTAATTGCATTGTTGCCATGTCAATACAGGTACCTATCAGTTAGGTGGGGCATTGATATGTCAAAAATGTTTGTGTTTCTTGGGGAAAGAGGGGACACAGATTATGAGGATCTGCTTGTAGGCCTCCACAAGACTGTGATCCTGAAAGGTTCAGTGGAGTATGGCAGTGAGATGCTTCTACAGACCGAAGATAGTTTCAGAAGGGATGATGCAGTGCCCCAGGAGAGCGCCAACATATTCAGAGCAGAGGGATATGAAATCCCTGATATCTCCAAAGCTCTGGAGACATTGAAATGACTTCAAAATTGAACATTTTCTAAGTTTTATTACTTTAACCTTTTATTTTTTAGGGGTTGGGGGTTTGGGGGTTTGCCATGGCTAGTTTATGTCTGTGGCAATACTTTGTTAGATAAACAAATAACACGTGTAGTTTGTCGTATAAGAAAGCTGTATCTCATCATCAAATCAAGCACTTCATATGCTTAATGAATCCATTGAGTACCCTTACACGTAATTGATATCAGTAGAATATCCAAGACAAACGAATGTGCTCTAACTCAATTATGCACCTACGGGTCAAAAGCAGTGACAGCATGCAAAATAAATCATAAAAATTACTTCTCAGTGAAAGCATATGTGATGATTTTTTCCTCATTGACTGATCAACTCTTAACCGTTGCAAATGTAAAAGTAATGACTCATGATTAAATAGCAATACATCGTACTTATTCAAATAGTAATTCATAAAGTAGTAAAAACCAAACAGACACTAGAAAAAGAAATTGCTGTTGTCATCTGATCAATGTATGGCAACTTCATCATGGTATGTCCTGCTGCTATTCGTAAACAATTTGCAGCTTTTTATTCACAACATGTTCAATGACTATGGAAGAAAGAGCATTTGATAAGTTTGTAGCCAGCATTTTTTCTAAGCCTCTCCATAAGCACCCAGTTCTACCCTGTATTCTTCTCCACAAGAACACTTAACAGGATGTGAAATTTCCTGGATAACAGAATAAAAAAATTGATGCTCAGTGCATTGCACTAGAGAAAATATGTCTAGCCATTCTACAATGCAAGTGATTATTATACAACATGCACCAATTTTAACAGATTACTTAATTTAGGAGGTTAGCAACATTCCTGAATTAACTCAAGGGCTAGCAGATATAACAGTGAACTGTAACTCTAAAACCCATTGCGAATAGTTGCCGAATTCTTTCTACCTTTAAGGTCATTATCTGAAGTTGCAGAGCCTGTAAAAACTCGGCTTCCCCAGATTTGTCTGATAAAAGCACTTGAAGTTCCTCATCCAACAATTCACTATCCATTTCCCGAAGTTCTGGCTGAAATTACACATCCACCATTGAAACCTTTAACAGCTATTGTTAGACAGCCTATAGACACTCAATATATAATCACAAGGTCAAATATTGTTCCCAATATGGTACTTTCCGCAGCTTTACACAGCTGCATTATGAAACTACTAATCTGTGAACAGAATTTGTCAAGACAGGAATCCATTTTCAGAAAGAAATAACAGAAAACAATAATTTCCAGAAATGAGCTATTTGGACCACAAGATCTTTTAGAAGCTGTTGGAATCAATTTAATGCATATTACGTGCTAAAAAAAAATTAGTCGAGAAAAAGTTACAGAGAATGCATAGTGACTCACCTTATATTCATTTAACTTCCCCTTTACTAGCTCCATAGCATGCTTTATCTGCAGCACAATAGCTTACATTTGAATCGCTGAATTTAATATAAAATACAGTAAGGATAATCTAATCATTATATGCTAGTCACAATCCAACACCTTATGTAAGAACTGTAAGTCTGTCAACATAGTTATGGTTTTCTCCTTAAAATGGGAGCAGGGATAATTCATTTCAATATTGCAGTGTCTGGAAAATAATCAATTTTCTGAATGTGCAAATGGACTACCATGTAGAAGCAAAAATAAATCAGTAAGCTTAGTCAGAACTTTGTCCATGATAAATGATAAAGTTAATCTTGGATTAATTGTCAAAACATTTGTTGGTTACATTTAAGCAAATCTTCTTTGTTTTTGGGAGGGGGTTTGTGGGTTGACTCTGCTTGATACTTATTCAACAATGTATTTAGGGTAAAATATCTTGTAAGAGTCAACAGACACATCATGGAAGGATTATAATCCACTTTCAGTACCAAAAGGATAAAGGTAAAGACAGCAAGAAAATAAAACAACAGGAAGAATTGTAGCAGACATACAAAGACAGACATCTCTACATAAACCGGTTCCACAACAAAAAGGTAACCACTAAACTAGTAAGAGTGAGTAATAAAATGACATAGAATGATACAAAATAGGACAATTTTTATTTTCTTTTTGGGAGAATAAGGAATATGGCAAGGAGAAGAAACAAAATTCAAAAGGAGGGCACAAGTTTGAGCAAGATGGGGAATTAAGTACCATTTCCATAATTAAATAGCAATAAATTAAATGCTAAATTACCACAGTACCCCTTCCTTCTTTTCCTTTTGTTACCTTCCCAACTAATTTCCCAACGAACTAATTTTTCAACACCAAGCAGATGTGAATGGCAGGGTGGCTTTCAACCGCTACCACTACCTACTGCCAACTTTCTGATGGTAAAAATTCTTGAAATTTACTCTCTCCACTCGAATTTTCAATAGGATGTGATTCCAGTATTCAATTTAACCAAAAGTGGATAATTTCCCTCAAATGGCGAATTATCAGCAGCTCTGATAATTTTTTTATTACATTCAAATCAAGTTCAAGTCATAGAAATCTGTATGACGGTACTGTTATCTAGTCTAGGCTTCTATCAATTTCCTTTTTCATCTCTAAATTGAGAGTTTACTAATCCCGTTTCCTCAAAATCCTAATCTTTTGGGTTCCAAAAGATACCTAACCCTGAAGGAAATCAATTAGTTTCACCCATGTCGACCTTGAGTAGATTTTATGCCGAGAGTAGTTGCTGAGATTGGATGCGGGGAGTAGTTTCAGTGACAACGTATTTGGCAGCGTGAGAAGTGCCGCTCTCATATCATGTACACATACAGGTAGGCCAGCAAAGAATCTGGAAGCAAAGAACATGTGTGTCCTTATGCTATTTAACACTTTTGATAGGCTCGGCTACAATGAAATGAGCAAGTGCATGAGGTTCCTCCATCTGATTTGATTAAGTGCTTGTGGTCCTTGTATTAAGCGGAAGAAGGCATCTGTGTTCTGATGATTTAGTTTGTGACTGTGAAATTGGTGGAGAGAGGGGAAGGACTTATGGATAATATCATAGATCATGTAATATTTTTAGATTAAATAAAATGTATTCAACTCCCCAATCTTGAATTTATCTAAACACCTGCCCTACTTATGAATTTTAAATCCTTCTCTAACCATATTCCCAATTCTCCCTTTTCTTTTTAAGCATAATACTCCATAGATGAAACAAATTTATAACAAAGCTAAAAGAACTAGTTACAGCCTTACTTGTATCCAAAATTTCATATATTCACCTTGCTATTCTCCAAAACAAGATTGTATTTCATCTGCACCACCTGGTCTAACTCAGCTTTTGCAGCATCAAACTTCATCAGTAGGCTTTTCATTATGTTTCCCTGAGACTCTGAAGATCACCGAGCTCTTATTATTGCACATAAGAAGAAATTTTACATCGTCCAGGGTAGACATGGTATTTGTGTAGTGCTTCAAGTAAGATTAAGTTCAAGAAGGTGAAACATAAGACCTTGGCTATCCAAAAGTAATTGAAGAAGAAGTTCCATGAAAGAATATTTTTTGTACCAGTACTCTTTTCTTTTTCATATTATTTTCATGCTTGACTGAACCAATCCTTTCGACTGCATTCTACTTGATGAAAAATATGTGCATATCAAAGTGTCAAAGCAAATTCATGTTGCTTCCGCAACAATTCTGTCAATCTAGCAGTGTATAATTCAGCTGGGGGTACCAGATGTTTAGTCTCTATTGTGCTACAAACATATTCACCTCTCAATGTAAATTATCTCTTCTACATTTTCTATGTTCACCAGGATCATATATTCATCATTAAGGATTGCCTCTTAATAACCAATTCAACGAATTCCAAGATATATCTGCTTCTAATATATTGAAGTGGGCATGTCTCAGTGATATGTATTCTTACTTTAGATGATAATTCTCTAAGGTAGACCATTTTGATCTGCAAAAGAAAACATTCTGTATCCATCTAGTGCATATGTAAAGAAAGAGAACATGATATTAAAACTTACACACCATCCATTAGTCTTACCTTCAGTCTCACAAATTTCCCGGGTGATGTTATTTCCCACCTGTGTATTTAAGTTATTAATGATGTAAGAAGGGCCTGATCCGAAAAGGAATAATGATAATATAGGACAAAAGTGCAGTGCAAATGACATTGAAGTTGTTTGAGAAGACTAGCTAATGCATCTTTCACAAGACATGAGTAGAGAAGAGCACAAATTAATTCAAAATAAACCTTCTGAAACAAAAACCAACATATACTTGTTTTTCCTGGCAAGTAAAATATCACTTAAGACCACCAAATCAAAAGGCCTCAATCAAAACCTTGAAGGATCAATTATTGATAAGCATGTAAGGATCAATCATTGATAGAAATTTATATTTTAGAGATTCATAGAAATTATTAAGAGAATCATAAAATTATTTTATAGAAGCTTGCACTTTAGTGAATTAGATTCCTCTATACAGGATCTTACATTGACAGGAATTGCACAGTTCTGTTACCTAAAGCCTGGGTGCTGAGAAACAATGTGGAAATCCAACATCAGGCTTTATTTTGACGGCGGCTATCCTCAGATTTGGACAAATAACTACCTTTTCTAGCTCCAAATTTTCAACAATGGGCAAAGACATGGCAAAATGTAATCAACAAGGAGAAACTCCTGAATTGAAATAAGCAAGCTGACTTCCTTTTTAAAAATGCTCTAGTTACTAGAATGTCTTTGACTGTAAAGTCCAAATTGTCACCAATGCACCCAGTTGAAAGTCCATTTTAAGGTCAATGAAATGTTAAACTTTCAATATTTGCTTTAGAGTATCACTTTACACATAGAATCAGTCTGCCCATGAGTGAGCTTTGCAAACCATTAAAATTGTTATATGCGTGCATCTGCACAAAGTGTCTGTTGTTCCATCCATTTGATTGTCTTCCTTTTACTTTTAGACGTCCCAAAGCATTAGCTGATTCATAAAGCAGGAAGAGATGGTCCAGAGATATCGTGGCCTTCACATCTAGGGACTTTTACTTCTATAAGAATGTCGTCCTGTTAGTGACAATTCAGAGGCATGCAGCTAATCATGTCTTGCTCCATTTCATTCAAGTTTCATTCAGCTGACACACATCCTTGAAAAGTAAAAACGGACCCGAAATGGGCTACAGGTGACAACTAACAACAAGATGAATGAGTTCCAGAAATTACCAAACCATTCTCTGTATCAAGAAAGCTGCACTCGTTAGCAATTATC